ACAAATCGTATTTGCCCTAAACTTCTGAAAGATGTAGAGGGACACATCTGGGAATTCAAGGTGAAGTGGGCTGGAATAATTATTTAGTTACGTGCATATATCAGTGAGACTGTTAATCAGCGATATTTTGGAGGAAGAATCTGAAAAATTTAGACATAAACATGAGTATTCTGGAAATTGTTAGTAGAGAGAAATGCATTGTTAGATTTAATTTTAAAGACTTGGACCTCAAGCCAGGATTATTCATTTGTTTGGAGGGAGAGGATTTAACAAGAAAATATTTTCATGGTTCTATAATCAATATTTCAACAACTGTAGACAAAACCAAGGAAAAGGTTAGTCCATTTGGCAGAATAAGTGTATTAAGAAAAGAAATACATCAGCAACATCAGATAAAATTCCTTGGGTACATTGCTTAGGAGAATTACAAATGACAGATATGGCTGGCAGTTTTTTTCACGGAACAATCTTCTTCCCTCCTCTCTGCTAAACACCCTTAGTAGGGAGAGATGAAAATTAAGCCAAGGTGGTTGTTGCAAACCGGTTAAGGTCAAGTAATCAAACATGTGAGTCACATGCACTCAAAGATTTTCACTGTTTGTTTTAGTAGGTCATGGTTAGAAGACAGAGGTGTCACTCGGGGATTTTTGTGCAAAGACCTGAGCCTATTCAGTATAAAGTGTAGTAATGCGACTGGAAAGTGTATGTCCCTTTTCTTTTTTCTGAACCAGTAGTTATAGGCAATTGTATTCTAAGAGAATCAGGGTCTGTTCCCTTTTTTTTGTTCAAAGTATTAATGCATAGTGAAATTCTGAGTTCAAAAGCTGTGGCTCGTGTTATATACAAATCCAAATAACATTGCACAACAAACTTCTGTTGTAATAAGGGCTTGATTTTCTTTTCCTCTATTCACAAGATCAGACATGAAGGCAGAAAAGCAGAGTACATAAAGGTACCTGCTGAAAAACCACTCTGTCTTTTCCTTTGTATTGATGGGAACAATTTGTGAATTTGGTACAAAGGACAGTTTGAGTGGACTGCAGAAACCTCAGCATGCGTCTCCACCAGCTGAGTAATAGTTTTGAAAGACAGTTCATGATTTAACTCTCATCTCATTTTAAATGCTAACATGAATGTCAAGCAATACATTTATTTTGTTTTTCAGATTGGATCTGGTCGCTTAGTAACTGTCGAAAGTACACCTCAGTTAATTGGAGGGCCACTGGCTGTTACAGACCTTGCTCTTAGAAAGCCTTCTGTTTGTGAAGGAGCCTTAAAAAAGATCAGAAAAGTTAAAACGTTAGACTCAGTCAAGAAAGATTCGGTACCTGTAGAATAGATAGTGTTCTGAACAATGCTTTTAATATTTCAGTTAACTGTATGTGTATTTTAGATACCAAATAAAATCTGTTTATAATGTTTTGATGAATTGCATAGAGCACCTTGAGAGTAAACTTGTATTTTGTCTTAACTAATTCAAACATGGGGATGATGTATTAATAAAGTACCCGAGACAGTATGGTCCAGAAGTATATTGTGTCCAATAATTTTGTGTGCTAGTGTCAGGTTACCCTGATCCACTATCAGTAGGTCCACTATTTAGATCTCCATCTCTTGTTGGCACATTCCACACACTGTACTTTAAGTGTCTCGTTCTCAGAGCAGGGTGATGAACCTTCACATGAACCCATGCAGTTCCTCATTTTCCTGGATACTGTACCCATGTGCTTTTTGTGCAAGTCCATTTGTTTCTTGAATTGCTGCCTTTAGCGTCAGGACTTCTGACTTCTGTTCTCTCGGTTTTCATCTAAAGACGCACCAAGAAGCTTGTCTGTGCCAACAGTTTCTCCAAGCCTGTTGGAAAGACATGCTGAAGTGTTCTGCTCCTCATGGGTTTTCACAGCTCTTTAACTGGTCTTACTATTCTAATTATTTCTTCAGATATTGACCATATTGTCTCCAAAAAGAACTCATCCTCTTCCACCCCAGCACCTCTAGAATACCAACACAAACGTGTGAGCAGCAGAACTTTTTGTAGGCGACTCAGTTTCTAAGCTATTGTCTCTTTCCCAACTTGGGCAAAGCCAGAATTTGCTATAGAGCAAGATTCCCTGAGGCTGTTACTTCGTTTTAAAACCAGTGGCTATCCGCTGCTATGGCATAAATTGCTGTGACATTGCAAGGGATTCTGGGACATACAAGCTCTGGCATGTAGTCTGTCATTTCTGCCTGTAAGCAATATTTAGAGAAAATACAGGCTTTCACTTTGTTAAATGACAACTTGAAAAATGGAAATAAATTTGAACTAAGCAGGTAGAACTTCATTTCCAACTCCTTTTTTTACTTCCTGAAAGAGGGATGGGGGGTGGGGGTGGGTGTATAAGCATTGCTTAAAAATCTGTTTGTCCCTGTAACAAAACTTAGCAGTGCTGGCATTAAAAATGAAGGCAGAGATTTTTGTTTAAAAATTGTCTACTTAAATTCTATTAAAAAAACCTGAACAAAATAATGAAATAAAAGAAAACAGCCATATGAAATGGTACTTAAACTTTAGAGAAATCTTCACCTGTTTAGTTTCCAAAGATGGGAAGCATTTTCTCATGGGCAGGTCTGTTATACATTACATTCTAGAGTAAGACAGTCATCTAGTGCTTAAAGCTAGAGAAATTAAATCGAGCTATGCTAATTTCGCTGGCCCTTTGCTAATTCATCATTTTTAAGTATAGTCTCGTTTCATTATGTCATTTTTTTCCCAAAATTATCTGCATCAGGTTTGTTTTCTTAAACAAGCCTGTATATGTATTTCTTGCCTGCCAGCAAAGGTATGTAGAGATTATCTAAGTGAAGCCCTGTGTGTCAAGTAAAGTCTTGCTCAGTTGTTTATGTTTGTATTTCTCTGACAACTCTTCAGCAGCTATGCTGCTTTATTACTTTTTTAGAGAATGTGAATATATATCTATACACCGGGGCCAGAAAAAGTGTGCTCCATTGTCTTTTCACAATTAAACCAAATAATAAATATTTGTCTAGGAGAACAAAGACTGTGACATTTAGAGGTTTTTTATATGCTTGCATATATGTGAATGTGTGGGTGACTCATTACTACTGGCAGCAAGGCAGATTTCCCAAAATGCTTACATTTATACTTCAAGGCAGATTTCCCAAAATGCTTACATTTATACTTCATGAATTAATACTAACACGAGGCTTCACAGCGGCATACGCAGCATTTGAGTTTGCCAGCCAGCTGTGGACTGTGGCCTGACTGCCAGAGGGGGAACCCAAGAAAACTCGGCTTGCTGTTCCTGCTGTAACCCAGGGATGGAAAGAGAGGGAGCACTGAGCGCTGGTGGAGAGAAAGATCATCCCCTTCGCTGTTAATCCCTCTTGCAGAGAGCCAGGAGGAGCCACCTCTGGCCTCCCAGAGCTCTGTCCTAGACAGCACAGGTATATCCACCTGGAATTTGTTTTGCTGCTGCTGCTTGTGGTACTGTGTTGCTGTTGTTCACAGCCACCTGCCCCTTTGGCAGACACTGCAGGGTGACAATAGATTGTTCAAGCATTCTGGAGCCAATTATGGTAGATGCTAAGCACCTTTCTCCTACAGAAAGCTAGTTAAAACAAAGAGTTACAGTCTGAGGGAAGATGGAGCTTTTAAAACTGCATAGGATACCTTGCTCTGGAATTCAATTAAAAGATCACGAATATAGGAAGCATTACCTTTAAAATGTTCTTACAATTTTACACTTCTGTAGGTGATGAATAAAATTATTTGTAAGTGTGAACAAGGGGAATTTATTTCTCTGATTTATGACAGTTAAAACACTTGATTTGTCGCAAATGCAATACAATACACAGCTTTATAAAGTGGATATTGCCTGAACAGATTAGGTGGTGGCTCTCAAATAGCTGCTCATCATGATATATCAATTCCTGAAACTGCTGGGTTTGGATGTGTCATGACTCCCTCTATTTGCTTAAAAGAAAGGGTGTATTTAAAATACGTTTTTGTATCAGGAACTTACAGTGATATTAATTTGTAAGAGAAATTTCTCACTACTTTTGTACCCTCTCTAGAATACAGTAGGAGAAATATTTTACAAGATGCAGGTCAATATTGTATTTACCTAGATAAACATTTACAAATCTATGAGAATTGTTGGATATTTTATGAACTATATATGAGCTAGGCATTATGTGGGATGGATTTCTTGTCACTTATGAAGGTTTATATGCTGTTACTGTGTAAGTACTGTTTCCTACAATAATTAAACCCATCTGGGATCTCATAAAAGGCTAGAACACAACAGGGACTGAACAAGCTGCATTGCCCAAGGAATAAAGCAGAGAACAGTGAGCATCTCTGAGTGTTCTCATTTGTTCTCAGGCTTTCTGTGCCCAGGAGAAATGGATTAACAAAGTGGTTAATCTGCCTGAATTAGCTGACCCATTCTGGATGGTTTCGTGTAATGGGAGCAATAGTCAAGCCAGTCTCTAACGCTTTCAAACCACTTGATGCATGAGTCTCAACTGTGATGTTGCCTGCTATGACAGGGATGGATTGTATCATCTTATTTACCTGTATGAATGTGTCAATAAAGAGCAGGCTTGTGTAAAGTACTGTTCTTAATGTCATGTAGTAGTGGTCTTGCAAATAAATTGCTAATAGACAAGAAAATGACTACTATTTAGACACTGCTGCATAGAAAAATACTTTAATTAATCATAGCCTATACTAAGCAGTGATAAAATACAAAGTTTACACTGCACAGGACATTACAATGAGCATAAGCCTTCTCTTTAGCTTGATGTCACACTTTTTTGCAATTCTTAAAAGTAAAATTGATTGTATGTGCAAGACACTGTATCAAATGTTTGTTGACATTTTCTCCATTGCTTAACGTATAAAAATATATTGGGTTTCCTTCAGAATTAACTTTTAAAAAAAGAGAATTATTGGAAAAGATGAGCCTCTACAAAAATACGACACTGGCTTTGACTTACAAGCTTACCTGAGAGAACAAAGGTAAACATAAAAGCATTCACACATGCAGTGGGAAAAAGGCAACCCTGGGAGTTTGCAAGACAGGAAAGCAAAAGTGACAACGTGGGAGTTCATGCACTTATCAGTTTAGCAGTGATTAAAGTACTTTATACAGAGGAAAAAAAAACAGGTTGAACCATGCTATGGATTTGTCTAAGCGTCTACAGTATAGGCTGTGCTTTTGTGTTCCTTCGTTTTGATGTTGCCTTGCTGAGGTATCTTCATTTTCTCCCCTTTTGGCCTAAAATGGGTTGGTGAAAGCGGACCCTGCAAGATCATGAAAGAAAGGTTATTTTCCAAGGTTATTTTCCAAGCAATATGGTTAGGAATGCTAGGATTAAATGATCTTCATGTTCAGTCTGGAAACCTAAAACATCTGACTGGGTACATCAGAAGAAAGTCTGTTGCCGAGGAGGAAGGAAGCACACAGGTCTAGGACTGGCTAATAAGATATAAAGCCAATCGCCTATATAATCTCAGTTCAGACTCATCCCAGACCCCAATGACCAGAATTGGTCGATGTTTGATGATTCACAGAGACCATAAGATCACATTATGTGTCAATAGTTTTAACGGGAAGAAGAGGCTTCAAGCAGCCAGGGATTTGAGCTTCCCTTCTCACAGAGGGTCGATTCCCCAAAGCTGAGACAGAAGTCCAAACACCAGGAAATTCTGCGTATTGTAATGTCATTTATATGCACACAGTGATAAAGAGAGAATGCAGCATCCAGTTCCACACACTCCCACATGCATACCGGACATTTTTTACACTTCATTAAACATAGAAATGTAGTACTCAAACTACTTTGGACCCATGTATTGTGGAAGTAGCTACCACTGAAAGATGCAAACACTTTTGGCAAGTAGAGACAGAAAACTGGAGATGATTATATTGAGTTGTCTAAACAATCAAGGACGAGGATGGAACAGTGGTTCAGTACGCTAGTACATAACAGAGTAACACCATATCCTATAGTTACCTTCTAAAGTTCTATGTGAGTATGTGGAAGAGTATTTGGGAGACATTAATTGTCTTCTGCCCATTCCATGGGATCTTGAGAGCACGCAGTCTACATACATATCCCAGAAGTTCTGGGCTAAATGATTGAAGAGTTCGTTGTGCTTGGGCTTAGGGGATTCCTTTAGGAACATCATGAAGTCCCAGAGAGCAATAACCGTGTCTGCGACCTTGAGTTTCTTCATTTCCACCAGCCCATGGGATGACACCTCCCAGCACTGATGGTCAATCTGACCCAGGCTTGGAGGAGTTTCTTTCTGATAGTCTAGATTGGCATAAACCAAATTCAGTATCAATATACAGCCCAGCTGAAGATACCACCTTCGCTGCCATACAGATTCCATACTCCAGGAAGGTACCTGAAAGAAAGTGGATAAAATCACAGTGATTCTAATGTTACATAGTTCATTCTCACATAACTTTCAAGGATATCCCAAGAGATGATTTATGCATGTATACAGACAAATACTTCTTTTCAAACCATGGAATTAATACCAGGCAGTGAACCGTAACGCTGGAGCTAGGTTTGCACCTAGAAAGTTTTAATCCTGTTTAGAACATGAAAACCTGAAGCAGAAAGTTCATAGCCTATGTCGGAACTGCTCCTTGAGCTCAGGACTTCTTCCCTTAAACTCCTGTGCTTAGATCATCAGTGAAATCAGATGAATTGCAGATGCTGAACAAATCCTAGTGGCATTCTCTTTTGCATGATTGCAAACAAGTAACAGAGTTATAAATATAAAAAATATAATGTATAATATGTATATAACAGATTGTATATAGTAGAATAATTATAATATATAATATAAAATGTAGTAGAGGAGACTAAACATAAAGGAGAAAACAAACCCCAAAAAAGAACAAAAAAAAAAGTGAGCCCAGTAAGAAGTCTGAAGAAAAAGATGACAGTCAAGACTCTCAGATAGAGCCCCTTATTTTGGTGTCCTAAATCAATAGTTGGTGCCATGGTCATTCCCACAGTTTCCAATCCCCTTGCCAATTCAGAGTGTAAAAGACAATTACAAAATGATGTGAGGTTTTGTGCAGATTCAAGGCAATGCCTTGGGCAACCGTGAAGTTTACGGGGAACTTGGACAGAACTGCAAGTGTGCTCTCCCACTCAGAATATCTTTGGGCACTGGCAGCAGGAAAAGTTAGTCTGTGGCGTCTTCGAAGCATTAACACACTGATGTCCTCTCTGCAGCTCGTAGTGATACAATCAAAGAGAGGACAATCCACAGATAATACAACATCTGTGTGAACTGTCTACAAGAAGACAGAGTTGAGGGGACACCGTGGATTTCATGGTCATACTAGGCTGGGTCGGGAAACAGGACAGCTTGAGTTAAGCCCTTTTGCTGTGGCCTCAGGGTTCTGGGATGATTTTTAGTCTGAATGTGCTATTACACTGCTGCAGCCGTCCGAGGTCCCTAGACCCACCTATTCCTTTACCTCAACTTCAGGACTCAAGAGAATGAGACAGACACCCCCCCCCAACCTAGCTCAGTGCTAAAGCTTCACTTGCTAGCTGCATTTCAGCAGGCAGCACGATCACCTGCCTCAGCATCCCGAGACCTTATGAATATGCATTAAATTTTCTCTTCCTTGGGTTGTTAGAAAACTGGCTCCAGCAAACAAGCAGGGATGGAAGTGCTTCTCTTCTCACTTCCACTTCACCAGGCACCAGAATTTAGAGGAAGGGCACGCTAGCAATTTAGCTACAAAGCGGGAAAACAGCAGTCAGGAAGCCACCAACATTTTGAGTGGGTTTGACTTCATGTTTTAATCCAGCTGATAACTAGAATGCCCAGAGTCCATTTGAACGCCCCAGACAGGAGCAGGGACCACAACAAGCCTCAGAGAGCCGTTGAACTAGTAACTCCTACTATTCAGTGCAAGACAGATGAGTTTCACAAAGGCAGTAACTAAAGAGCCATCATAGAAGTTATACTCACAGTGTTTCTGTGATGAGATGGGAAACGGTACCCTTGAAACAACAGTAGTCAGCCGCCTGGAGAGAAAGAAGACAACTCCTGAGAGGGCTGCAAGTGCCCGGCAGCTGCTGGATGCTCCGCGGGTGCCGGGATCACGCTGCACGGGGACGGCTCTGCCCCCGGCAAAGCAGCAGGAGCAGC